CTCGGGGCAGTTAGCGTGTTGTTTGGAGCTGGAGCCACTGGACTGAATCCAGCTTTTCCAGTGAGCTGTGGGCAAGTTGTCTTTTCTTGACATGGAGTTCCTCATCTGCAAAACTGCTGCAACGATTGTACAACTCAGGGTTTTTTGGTGGGAATTAAGTGAGGTTCTCTGTAAAGTTCTTGGAACAAAGTTATGATAAACACTAGAGAAGGGGAAGTGTTAATCACCTTTCATATCCATGCCTTAAACCTCTAATTAGTGGGAAAGCTCCTTAAGAATGAGAGGGAGTTGGGGCCAGTAGGTGACGTGGTGGTTAAGGTGCCGGACTCCCACATGGCGGACCGTATTTTGAGTCCTGGACCTAGTGGCTTGCTTTCTCACTTTCTCTCTCCCTCCTCCTCTCTCTCATCACTGTCTCTTTCTGGTGAGCACACATGCCCTATAGAAAATTAGAAATAATAATAAGTAAAATTAAATAATTCTTTTTAAAAATGAGAGGGAATGAATTTATATAACCTTAAATTATTCTCTCGGCCTAATAACTATTTTCTTGATCAAGAAAGTGCTTCTTGGTACCCCCCCCCCCCCCGCGTGACTGTAAAAACAATTTTAAACATTATATCCCCAAGGGGGGGATATAAAAAAAAAGTTCATGGAAAATGTGTGCTATGAAAAAATTGTACATCACTTTTCATTTTCTTTTGCAGCAAAAGAAATTGTACCGCAAAATTACTTTACTTTCATTTTCCCATGAATTTCTTTCTTTTCTTTTCTTTTTTTTTTTTTTTTTTTGACAGATTTTTGCTATAGGGCACAGTGCACTTGCTGGAGAGACAGAAAGAGATGGAGAGAGAGAAAGTGAGAAGTCATTCCCCCCGGGGGGGGAGTGACCACATCACAATACCCTCTCCTCCATTCTCTCAGGATTTGGGGTACACACGTTCATGTGCCTGGTGTGAGTTTCAAGTCATCAGGTCTGGGACTCGAACCATGGTTGGCCATGGGAAAGTCCAGCACCTTAACCACTACATCATCTGCTGGCCCCCTCATGAAGATTTTGCTGTCCCCTCATTCTAGTCTTGAAGTGCATAAGCAGAGATGGCTATAAAGCAATGCTAGTTTCTGTGCTGGGTGCCGTTGGTAACTGTATTAAGTGGGTGGTATCTTGACAATGTCTCTCATTAACAGATCCACCCTGTCTCACTCCTTGATCCTTTGCAGCATTTCTTGAATTTGCTTCATGCTAGCAAGTTGAAAACTATTCATGAAACCCCACCTCAAATGTCTTTTCATTTCAGCAGAATTTTGAGCCCAGCCTCTGCCATCCTGAAACCTTATGAAACTCCTGTCATCTGCAGCAGTGACTTCAAAGTTCTTTAGGTCTTACACACAAGCAGATAGGAGAAAAATTAACTGCCATACAAATAAGATGCAAATACAATGATATGAATCCTTTATACAAGATACATTGCATGATGCTAGAAAGTTTTAAAAAATGAGTTTTCACTGAGATAGCAAGTGTTCTTTTTTTTAAGAGAGTTTTTGCTATGGGGAATGTTTACTCACCAGAGAGAGAGAGAGAGAGAGACAGAAAGCAAGAAATCATCCCCCCCCCCCCCCCCCCACATCCCCCCCCCACCACCACCAGAGGATAGCCACACCACAATCCCTTCTCCATTCTCTTCTTGGGATCCTGGGCATGCATGCATACCAGGTCCAGGACTCAAACCATGGTTGACTATGTAGGAGTCTAGTGGCACAACCATTATACCATCCACTGGTCCTAGAAAGTATTTTTAAATGGCTTGCTCATCATGGTGCTCAGCCTTGTCCCACTGCCATCTTAGCATCTAAAGGCACATCTTACAGTTATGGTGAGGTTCTTGTTTGAAAACAGTGGATGCAAATCTTTGGTACAACACATCTTCCTGAGGACTTTAAACCTCAAATCCAGCCTACTGCTAGAGGAGATCTGGTCACTATTGCTTAGCTTCTTGCTCAGGTATAGCTGCCACTGTCCTGTTGCTTATGTGTTCTCACATAATTAAAACTACGTCCCCAGGAATCTTTTAAAGTCATTTGCCCATTAAAGTCACTTGCCCATCTTTTGCTGTGTGTGCATGGGTTAAGCAAGCTAAATCATGAGTCCTGTGCCTTGCAAAATACGATAATAAATGGGAAGTGAAGCAGTGGGAAGGGGCCCTCTGTCACCACTCCACTTCTGGATACATTCACACACTCATTGGCCATCTGACACAGGTCAAGTGTGGACGTAGAGTCAACTTCTATCAATATATTTAATGTTGGAAATATGCTCTAGCTGCTCCTCATTTTGTGCATCTTCAGGGTGACATGCATCTTGGATAACGGCCAAACTTTTTAGCCTGGATTCAGATCCTCCAGAGCCTGAACTCCACTTGCCTTTGCTGGTTGGAAGCCTCCTATTGAACCAACTGGACATAATAGACTTCAGTCTGAACAAATTGCTCACACTCCGCCCCTCAGCACAGCACTGCCTGCCTTATTTTTACCTCCAAAGCGTTCCTTGTCTTGCCTTCCCCATGATCAAGTAGACAATTCCCCTTTCCTCTCCACAGACTTCTCTTAGAACTTCAAGGCTATAACGAACTCTCCTCACTCTGACTCTGAAGTTATTCTACTGGCAATTAGCCAAACTGCCTCCTGAGTTATTTTCTAGTACTACCTTTAACTGTTATTTAAACTTTTATTATTCTTACTCTGCTTTTACGTGCTCATGCCTTATCTCCACAAATGGATTGATAACTCCTTAATGAAGAACCTATGTTTTATCTTTCTTTTTAAAAATTTTAACTTAAAAAATGAAACCCAAATACTATGTGAACATAATTTAAAATGTTATCAATTCAGAAAAAACAATGAAGGATACATTC